GCCCCCCCCCCCCCCCCCATCTGCGGGTTCCATGTCCATGGATTCAACCAACCGCAGATTGATATATGGAGGCCAACTGTACTCTCTGGCTTTCTCTTCCCTGTGCTAGTGGAAAACCTTTGGCTGGCTCTTTTACCAACCTACATTGCTTCTCACTTGTTTTCCAAAAGGGAGGCAGCCATTTTGTTAACCCACTGGGGAAGTCCAGAGTCAGAAGGTAGAGCTGGTCCATGACACTCTGGGTCCACCATCCTGAGCTTGGTCAGGTCAGTGAGGGTGGGGCCCCAAGGCCTGGGGAGTGGTCGCATTACTGACACTTTGTGTGAGGGAATGAAGCATAGCAGGGGGCTCTTGTTTCTTTAGATCTTATGACTGTTTTTTAAAATCCTTCCCTTTATACCAGGGCCTCATTGCACAGAAGGGATTTGTTTCCCAGGTTCTGATTAGTGGTTGTGAGACGAAAGGCAGATTTTCTCTAACTTTGGTATTTCATGTGTCCTTTCTCGACCCAGTTTTCTTATAACTTCCCCATCTCTCTCTTCAGTTCTGGTAATATTTAGTGTTTCCATAGCATGCTATAGCCGAGTTCTTTGTGATCATTTTTAGTAGTGACACAACAAATCATGTGCAGAGCATGAGCCAGTACTTAGCCAAAGAATGTAATGGAAAAATTCCACCAAACCCAGCTTCATAATCTTCCTTTAAAAAAACTCTACTGTATCATTTAGTTTGGTCTCTGTTTTTAAAACTTGAGCCTCCATCAGCCTATTTGGGCAGGGAGGGTACTACAAGGTCTACTGCATAAATAATTTGACTTGAAGTTGAACTGAGAATACAATGAACTTCCTAGAGTTATTGAAAAAGAAAAGGAATGGAAAAGGAATTCTTTGAAAAATGTTTCTTGAATGTAACTATCTTGGGTTTTAAATTTTTGCTCATTTCCTAAAGGCCCATACCAATTTGGAACTTGTTTGTGTTTTGTAGAACAGATTTCATATTCTAACACAGAAATTTTTACTTGTCTTGCTACCTAAATGCAAACATCTAACGGAATAATCCCTGGCACAGTATGTGCTCAATAACTATTTATTGTCACTTTAGCTTTGTACATTTCTTCTTACTAGGGCGTTGTCTTCTCTTAAGCATAGTATTCAACAAATGCCGTGCGCTGTTCTATGATTTTTTAGAGTCATTTACATAACTCTTTACCTCTCTAAAATCCAGCAATTTAGCAGTCTCATCAATGTGGAACCTAACTAAAAGAACAAAATAACCGATGCCTAAGATGAGAGTCTCCTGTCTTCTGTTTAAGAACGTAAGGAAGCGTGATACATCTGAGAAATCTTTTTGTCACAGATGTTTGATAAAGTACAGTACTGGAATTAAATGTAGCAGGGTGACTGTCAGCACGTTGCTTTATCTGTTTGCCTTCAGTTTTCTTATCTCTTAAGTGTGAGAGCAGCCCTCAGTGATCTCTAAGGCCCCTTCCAACTCGAAGGCTTCTGTGGTCCTATGATTCTTAGGCTACCTCCCCTCTTAAGGCCTATTTGCTCATCTGTAAAATGAGAGATGGACGAGTATCAAAGTCCTAACAATCTGTGACTTTAAAGGAATGAACTTTAGCCATCCAGAAAATCTAGCTATCCAGAAGGGCCATTCCTCCAGGGAATTGGTTAGCCAAGATTTTACTGTACATTAATACATAGTTAAAAGGACTAATTTAGTGTGTAGGGAAACATTTGGGACTGGTTAAAACTGTGGAAAAATCCTAATTCTTTGTAGGGTACGTTGACTTTAGTGTATACAATTACCATCTTGTTACATGTTTTCCCTCCTATAGGCTAGAGTTCTGTTCGGGGTAAGACTGAGTACATGTGTTTGTGTGTGTGTATATGTCAGACAGGAGCCTGCCAGTGTTAGGTTTTTCTCCTGACAGTACTAATTCCCTGTTCCTATTCCTAAGGGTACTGGTGATAAGCAGTATCCAAAGTAACCCTCCAGAGCAAGTGAAGTACATTGCAGGGCTGCCGCACATCCTGCATCTCTTCCTTACAGTGGTTTCTGCTTCTAAACATCTATATTTATAGAACCGGTTGGTACTGAAAGAGAGGAATGCACTAATCCTCTGATACTGACTCCGAAAGAGGCAGGGGGCGGGGGTGCAGAGAATAGGGAAGATGGGAACTTTTAGTTAGCTGCCAGTGTGTGATACTTAGCCACGATCCTTTCTAAGCATTAAGGGAATTGAATGACGGATGGAATCAGCTCCCCTTGTAGAACTAGAAAGATGAAACTAAGCCATTCCTCTGCAGAGGATGGCCAGCCCAATCTGACTTCGGTACTGTTTCCACCCTTGCTGCTTCCCTTCTTCAGGAAATTTAATAGCCCCCTGTGTCCTACCATATGGTGTCTCAGTTTCTGCCTACTGTTCAAGCCCCTCTAAGTTCTGGCCATGTACGCACTCCTATGCATCCAGTCTTATTTCCTACAGTTCCTCAACCCCATTCTGAGATGTCATGATATGCTCGGTACACTCTCTTGTTCATTTCATCGTCCTCTCCCTTCATTTGACCATATAAACCCAACTTCCTCCCCCCAAATTTGACTGATTCTCCACCTCTTCAATGAAGTATTCCCTGAGCACTTTGTGCTTTACTGCTCTCAAGCCTTAGAAAGCCTTCATGTACCCCTAAGTTTAAAGTTACTCATATTCTGCCCTGTAGAATACATTAATTTTGCCTTCTGCGTAGCTCTTGGCCCAGAACAGAGTATATATTAGATACCCTCCTAAACCTTGATTGGAAGGTTAAGGTTTGTCTTAGTCATTTTTCTATTGCTATAACTGAATACCTGAGACTGGGTAATTTATGAAGAAAATAAATTTATTTCTTACAGTTCTGGAGGCTGGAAATTCCAAGAACATGGTGCCAGCATCTGGTTGGCTTCTGGTGAGGGCCTCATGCTATGTCATAACATGGTAGAGAAACAGAAAGGAGAAGTGGGTCCATGCAAAGAGAGAGGGGACAAAGGAGGCTGATCCACTTTATAACAACCTGCTCTTGCAAGACCTAATCTGTTCCTGTAAGAACTAATCCAGCCTTCCTGAGAGAGATGTTAATCTATCTCAGTGACCTAATCACCTGTTAAAGGCTGCACCTCCCAACATTGTTACATTGGCAATTAAATTTCAACATGAGTTTTGGCAGGGACAAAGCACATCCAAACCATAGCAAGACTCAAAGGGCAGCCAGTATGATTGAGAAGATGTAGTGCTTGTGTTCCAGTCTGGCAGAGACAAACACAGTGATGGTAGCAGTCATAACAGGGCTTGGATGGTGGACAGGTGAAGGTAGTAGCCTCCAATACTACATCTCATGGCTGATCCTGGAAAATGATTTGTAAAAGGACTTTGAAATCATTGAGCAATTTATATGAGAGGGAGAGAGAGACTGAGGGAGGGGGTTGGGGGAGTTTACAGAGTGAGAGACATAAGTCTTCAAAAAGTTCATAGAAAGATTTGTATTTTCTTTTAATTCTGCTTGTTTCCATGAACGTTTAAAGTACCCTCATATATGTACCTTGATTGTTTAAGGTCATATGATGTTCATCCCCACCTCTCTCCCCCTCTTCGCAGCACACACCTTCTCTTTTTCTAATATCTAGTCTAGATCTAATTCTCCTCTTCCAGAGGCAGGCCAGGCCTGCTAATTGTGATCAGTCACAACTCATTTTTAAATTAAGTTCATGGCCAAGCCTTCAATGTCAGCCTGATAGATCTGGAATTTCTATGTCTATTTGAGCTCCATCATCACTGCCTTTTTTTCTTCTCACATATTAGGTAAATCCCACAGCCCAGTGTACCCACGCCCTGTTGAAGATGATCTACTGCTCCCACTGCCAGGGTCTCGTGACTGTGAAGCCATGTTACAACTACTGCTCGAACATCATGAGAGGCTGTTTGGCCAACCAAGGGGATCTTGATTTTGAGTGGAACAGTTTCATGGGTGAGCAAGCAACGAATGTACTGAAATTGCTAGACAGAGCTCCACTTGCAGCCACAAGGAATGTCGTAATTGTCATCTTTGAAATTTCTGTTCATTTTAGTGTTATTTATTTAGTGCTGCCAGGGTCCTGACTATGCTCAAAGTATGAACTTTTATTATGCTCGAAGTATGAACTTTGAGCATAGTCAAAACATTACTGCAAGTTAAATGGTGGCATTTCTGAAGACATTAGATATAATGAGAAAGTGCCTTTTCAATATTTTCCCCCTGAAGGTCAGTTTTAGTTATGTATCATAGGCTCGTATCCATGTAAATACTGGAGTACAGCCCTCACGGAGCTATGAAAGTGGCTTTTAAAATGTTATATCTGTTACACTGCAACTGAATCTTCTGCACCCTGGCTAGATACCTATCTGCTACTTGGATCAGGTGAGATCTGATTGTTGACATTTAGGGGTTCTGTTTCTATAGAGGATTTAGCAATAACAGACTGCTCAGGTGAGAAAGGAAGGACTTTTGCCCTGGTAATTTAAGAGAGAAGTATTCGTGTATGTACCTTCCACCTGGAAAACCATTACTGGAACCCAGACAGCAATATAAGTGTAATGGCCAGTTTCTGAGAGGGTTGATTATGATTTGGGGGAAAGGACAAATTAAGGATGATTTAAATGTCCAGCCATCAACTATCTGGATGCCTATTTAGTGCATATATTAGTCCTGAAACAACAGTGACCAGTGCATGCTGAAGCTCCTGATGCTGAGTGTTAGTGGGACTGCACACACATGCTAACAGTTCCTAGAAACAAACTCACACTTATTCCCACCCCCCAATCATATTTGCATAATTGCATAATTTGAGTATCTTTATAAGCACCTATTTTTCACTTATTTGTCCAATCATGGGAACATGGATGCAGTTTGCTGGCTGCTTTTTGGGGGGAGGAGGGAGAGTTTGGAGTTGGGGAATGCTTTTTAGTCTGCATGAGAGCTAATTACCATACTAACTCTGTTTGAAAGTACGTCAATAAATTGGCTCCAACAGATTCTTGAGAACATTGACACAGGGGGGTGAAAAAAAGATGTGAATATTAAGCAATTCAGCACAATTGTAGCCTAAATAGCGCAAAGCTAGAAGACCTGAAAAAAATCTTCCACATATAGAAAAGCAGAATCCCATGAAAGGGAAGGCATAAGACCGGCATAGACATCATACCCAGAATGAACCCATGGGAGAAATTGTTGCTTCGAAATATTTCTCATGGAAGGAAAATCTCGTGGCATCTCCAGATCTAAAGTCGATGTTTTTTCTTTCTTTAATCCTGTCTCTTCCCCATGCCCAAATATCAAGTTTGCAGTATACTTTTGCAAATTGAGTTTTTAAAGAAAGTTGGTGAGCCTTTTCACTTTCCCCCTATAATGCACTATTTCTTCGGGCAAGGGAGTAGAATTTGCCATATGGTCCAGAAATGTATGGCATCAATGACCCAGTTTTGCTAACTTTCCTACAGACACATCAGGAATAAAGCGCAGACAAGCATGTTCTGTTATTCTGAAATATCCAGCAGAATCTATGATTAAAGTCCTTATATCCTTGTATTAAAACATACATTCTACATATTTTTTCCAAGAGTTTGCAGGTCCATATCAAATCAAAACCATATTCTGGCTAAGTAGTTAATATTTTCAACCAGTTACTGTAAAACAAGGAGGACTGAAGTTGTTGCTGTTGTTCTTGTATATTTTTAAAATTACATTTGTTACCTTTGAAGAAACAAAATGAAGTTCACATGGAAAATGATAAGATTTCCAAATTAATTTTTCCCCGTTGCTTTAAATGATACTTTTTGGAAGGATGAGGTATATAATTGTCTCCAAACTTCATTTTTAACAGGTATACTATTTATTTCTAATAAGCTGATATAAAAGGCCAGGAGTAATAGACATTGTTAATCTCCTGCGCTTTTTCATGAATTTTTCACGAGGGTTTAATTAATCTGCTCTGTGCTTATTGAATTGAGTCCCAATTTACATGCCTCTGCTGTAAGTTCTTCCTCCCACCCCATCTTTTTTTTTTTTTTTTTTCTTTGCAAGGAACTTTTCTTTCCCCTTTAAATGACTGCATTTAATGAATGGCCGAGGGTTTCCCCCACCTTCTGTAAATCAGATCTTGGGGTTAAGTTGGGAAACTGCCTTCTGTTCTTCCAGTCAGGTCGTGAGGCTGAAGATGTGGGTTTCTGATTATTGGCGGCACAATGCCAAAGGAATCACTTTTCCTAGGGAGAGAGAAGAGGATGCTTTATGGTGGGGGGGGGCAGGGGGGCTCAATGCCAGTATCCTGCGGTTGGACTACACCCTTAAAGAGACTAAGGATGGGTTTTCCAAATCTGCCTTCTTGCTGCCATTTGCTCTTTCCTTTCTTAACCACATCTGCATATTTCCATGAATTGTGACCCTTTAGTTTTAGTAGTGTTGAAGTTGTATCACCCTTTATCAGGATGGATCCAAACAGTTGAAACATCTTGTAGCTCAGTCTTATAAGAGGCTGGTTATATGAAACCTTCAGTTCGAAAAGTCAACCAAATACCTCCCCATTCCTACCACCAAAACAAAAGGTCCGTTTCTGGAGGTTCGTAAATCATGCTTAGGTGGACCTTGTTCTCTATCTCATACTGTAGCTGTGTTAACATTCATTTGACTGATAGCCAACCCTATTCATGGCACATGTTGCTGCCAGTGGGAATTTAGTATTAGGATTGCTGGTGGGGACACCAGCCAGTTCCTGGCAGGAGGCAGGGGCCAGTCAGATATCTCACAAATAAGAGACCTGTGGCCTTATAGCAAGCAGAAGAAAAAGCAGCAAACTGTCTTTGGCTTTGTCTGGGGGCTTCTTATCAGGCCTGGCTGCTGCTACCGAAGAGCCAAGAGCCGATTGATAGCCAGTCGTGCCTTCCCCCAGGGGTTAGAGGCAGCTTTGGCTCCCGGGCTGTGGGCTGCAGGCAGAATACGTCCTTGGTTGCATTCTTCAGCTCCGCAACGTGCAACGCCATGGCACCGGCCCCAACAAAGGCCCCGGCTTCGCTCCCCATTCCCAGGCCCTTGTGTATGGCCGGCCGGCTCCGAGTTTACAAAGACGCCAAACAGCCAGAAGAATTGGGGTTTATGTTTCCTTTCAGTCTTTCACAAACACATTAGTGATCTGGACTTCCTCGCCACGAGGGGAATAAGTAGTTACAAAATGCACTGTTTTTTCTTGTTTAAACCTCTGCATTTTGGATGTTTATTATCTGTCTATTCATAATATTTTTATTTGGAGCAAGGGATTTTTTCTCGGCTTAGGAAGGAATGAGCTTTCTGTACGTGGCAACCCTGATGCTTTGACAATGATGAACACATTTAATTTGTGCTCCACTTGTTTACAAAAGTCTCCTTTTGGTAGCACATCAAAAGCATTTTTTTTTCTCCCCTAGTACAATGGTATATTCATGCTGTCAGCCTTTACTTCGAGGTTAGAAGCGTCACTTTATTGGCGCTTACCACAATGCAATCTGAAACTTCATTTGTTATTACTTTAAAAAAATTGCATTTCACGGAAATCTATTTGTGGTTTGTGACATCGGAATTGTAGTTGAGAGAAATGACCCCAGGCTTTAAAATGTTGTGTAGCATTTGTTCTAGGTTGAAGGTGAAAGGTTGATGACCAAATCTGGTTTCATTGATATGCTGATTCTTAAACTCCTTTCCACTAGAAAGCTTAGGTGGAAACTCAGCTGGGGACTGTAGTTGGCAGTGTTCTTTGAGAAGGACACACAGTCTCCTGGAAACTAGCCCTTCTTTCTAGGAGCTGTCCTTGTACTACCTGAAGGCGGTAGATAATGTAGGCCTAACCTTTTTTTGCCATGTGTTAAACACTGGAACAAAAGCTCACTGCTTGTCGCTAATGAAGCATCCTTTTTCTCATGTGTGGACTAATGAAGCATCCTTCTTCTCATGTGTGGACTATGTTTCCCAGTTCCTACTTTTGTACAATAGGTATGAGGCAAAAATACTAAACCTCATGATCCCAACAAACATGTATGGCATGGAAACAAGCCCAGCATATTTTGTTGAAGGGGTTCAGTGCTTACTGGGAAAACGCTAGACTCCTCCAAAGTCTAAAAGTGACTTGCAGGGTATTTGGTGAAGATATATGTTGTGAGCACACAATTTTTGTGTATTACATCTTATGTCATCTTTTCACTCAAATAAAAAAGGTACATGTTTTCCTTTAAAATAATAAATCGAGGCCCTTGTATTTGAAATGGGAATTTTATCTTAATACCAAATTGCATTATTCAAAGTTTTATTATTTGAAAAGTCATTAGAATTCCTAGGAACACTTTTATTTATGTTTTGCAATTGTGCACTCATGGATCTGAAAGGTTTCATTTTTTTAAAAATGAAAGAAAAGAATTGGTATGCTGGGATTTGGACTGATTTATGTTTTTGACTCGTGAATGGAACCTGAAACGAAAAGATCCTAGTCTTTGGGAGAACTGGCATGTTTTTCTGCCTCCGGCCTTAGGTTTGGCAGCTGAAAGGTAGCTCAGAGCCTTCAGTAACAGCTGCTGACACACGAAGGAATGAATAATCCATATAATAGGAGGTTCCTGATTGGGTTTCCTTGCTGTAGAACAAAGCATTCATCTGGCTATCTCACACTTTAGAGCATTAGTGATACAGAGTGACTAAATGCAGTTTGGTGTAATGGAGACAGATATAAAAACATGAATTAATTGTGATGCCTGCCTCCCACCCCATGCAGGAAACAAAGACGGTGAAATAATCAGACTGATTACTCAAGGCCAAACTAATGATTTACCTCTTGTGCTGTATTGTTCTTCCTCAAACCTCATGTTAGATGCTATGCTGATGGTGGCGGAGAGGCTAGAGGGTCCTTTCAACATTGAATCGGTCATGGATCCCATTGATGTGAAGATTTCCGATGCTATTATGAACATGCAGGAGAATAGTGTGCAAGTGTCTCAGAAGGTAATGAAGGCAGGATACTGGAAAGGAGAATTGGAGGCCCACTCCGGCTTGTGATGTGACTTCCCTAATATGACCATACTTACTCCAATGTAGGTTTTCCAGGGATGTGGACCCCCCAAGCCCCTCCCGGCCGGGCGAATTTCTCGTTCCATCTCTGAAAGTGCCTTCAGTGCTCGCTTCAGACCATATCACCCTGAGGAACGCCCAACCACAGCAGCTGGCACTAGTTTGGACCGACTGGTGAGCGTGTGGGCAGGAATAGCTGTGTTGAATGACAAAGAACTGAAAACATTTGCTTAAATGAATTTTAATTGGAAGGCTTGTAAGTGTAGGTCTCTCAGGTGTAACTTTTCAAGCAGACTGTATGTGGATACCACTAAATCTGCCTCTCATTTTCTAAGTTCCTGCATAGTCAAGGAAATGTGATATGTCTTGTCTCAAAACTTCTCTTTAGTTTCATCATGTATTTACGGAGCATCTATTATGTGTCCATCACTGTGTTAGGTGCAGGGAGGCTGAAAGGAAGAAGGCCAGTCATTGTTCTCAAAAAGCCCCTACAAAGAGGGAGACACAGACATTCTAGGCTTACTAACATAAGTATAGTAAATGTGAGAAAATACAGGCTTATTGCTTTATACATGGCAAACGCTGCAAAAATGTAAGCGAGTATAAATATAGTAGTAGGGGGAATGCAGAGGAGGGAGCCTGAGAAGATGCATGGACAGGGAGGAAGAGCAGTAACAGGCTAGTTTCACAGAGCGGATCATGTATAAGCTTGATCATGACTGTAAAACCCTTGGAAGAAGAGATGGAGTCTTATTGCTGTGTCTACAGGCTGTAGAACCTGGTAGGCCTCAGATGGTAGTTACTATGAAGAGGTGGAGCAGACAGCAGATCTGGGCAACTCTCTCAGAGCTTGCATTTCAACTCTTAGTTCATTTAGTGGCTCTGTACTTCTCAGTATAAATTTCATCTGCAGCGTTCTCTTCCAACTAAAGTTGAAAATGAATCGTGTATCACTCTGGAGATAGTTTAGAATTGATCAAAAGGCACGCACACAGGTGGTTTTGTGTTGTTTCACAGTGGTCCCTTTTTTTGGCCTTCTTAATTAGGTTACTGATGTCAAGGAGAAGCTGAAACAGGCCAAGAAGTTCTGGTCCTCTCTTCCTAGCAACGTTTGCAATGATGAGAGGATGGCTGCAGGAAATGGCAATGAGGATGACTGCTGGAATGGGAAAGGCAAAAGCAGGTTAGCCTCCACTGAGTGGATTTGCATCCTCTCCTTTCCTAGATGCTTAGGTGTCCCTCAGAGAGCCTTCTCTCAGTGGTCAGTTGAGGCATCGTGAAACAATCCACAGTAGGTAGGAACAACATGGAAGGCTTGCAGGCATTCTTAGGACAAAGTAGAAGTTTTGGGACGGCACCCAGCTACTTGCAGAAAGATCAACAGTTTGACAGTAGTTAGATTCTAGTAATAGGGTTGTTCCAACAGTGTCATTATTTTAAAAATATTAAGGCCTGCGGCCCTTTGCCCAAAGGCCCGGCCTCACATAAAGCACCAGTTCTAGTAGGATCTCATTCTCTTGCTTGACGATGCCCTGTGTACCTTCCTTCCATACTCAGTAACTTAGATAAGTACCCATTTGAGGGCACTTTCTTCTGACCCACCAACCTCTATAAAAGGGGTAGCTTTCAAAAAGATCATGGTCAAACTGGAGAAACAAGACATATACCCAGGAAAAGGAGAAATTAAGAGTTCATTAGGAATTGAAGAACTTCCGTGTAATTGTGCTCAATGGAAATACTAGAATCTAGCAGAAATCTTGGAGGATCTTCTCTTACTTTTTGCTTACTGATCATCGTAATGGGGTTGTTTCCCGTCTCAGGTACCTGTTTGCAGTGACAGGAAATGGATTGGCCAACCAGGGCAGTAACCCAGAGGTCCAAGTTGACACCAGCAAACCAGACGTACTGATCCTTCGTCAAGTCATGGCTCTTCGAGTTATGACCAGCAAAATGAAGAATGCTTACAATGGGAATGACGTGGACTTCTTTGACATCGGTAAGCATTTGTGCTTTGAAACTACAAATTGTTCTTGTTCGCCTTGTGATGACAAGTGGAGTGAAATCTGTATTCCATTTTTTAAAACTAGGTGATGAAACTAGTGGAGAAGGAAGTGGAAGTGGATGTGAGTATCAGCATTGTCCTTCGGAGCTTGGGTACAACGCCAGTGACCACGCTGGGAAGAGTGCCATTGATAAAGCCGACAGTGCTGGTTCCTATGCTGGGCCGCAGTCCTACCTCCTCGCTATCTTCTGCATCTTGTTCGTGGCTGTACAGAGAGAGTGGAGATAATTCTCAAACTTTGAGAAAAAGTGTTCATCATCAAAAAGTTAAAAGGCTCCCTTTAATCACTTTTATACCATCGTAGTGACTTTGCTTTTTAAATGAATGGACAACGATGTACAGTTTTTACTATGTGGCCACTGGTTTAAAAAAATGCTGACTTTGTTTTTTCATTCAGTTTTGGAGGAAAAAGGGACTTGTACATTAAGTTGGCTCCCACTCCCCCAGGATCATGTTAACCGTGGCTAACTGTAGGTACAGAGCTGTAGTTGGTTGTGCATTTGTGATTTTATCACTCTATTGTTTTGTTTGTTTGTTTCTCATTTTGTCTGTGGGTATTTTTTTCAATTATGATCTCACCTTGTTTCTTACAAGAAAACCAGGGTCCTTTCTCGGCATGTAACATGTACGTATTTCTGAAATATTAAATAGCTGTACAGAAGCAGGTTTTATTTATCATGTTATCTTATTAAAAGAAAAAGCCCAACAAGGAGTAAAATTTCCATTTATCCCTGTTATTTTAGTTGCCTTATCTGGAGAGACGTGGAGGTGATTTGGGTTCTTTAACTGTTATTAACTTAGGACAGAATGTGAAGGTATAAGCGGGCTTCTGAGCCACTTGTCAGACTGTATTCAAGCATCACTGCAAGAAGAAGGTTATACTTCCTTTATAGCTGGTGATTAGAAGAGACTGCAGACCTACCCGTTTTGGTTGAGTTGAATTACATAAGCTAAGATTACGTGTAGGTCCATTTCTTGAACCCACTTATACTTAAAGTGTAACCCATTCAGGAAAAGATTCTTGATAGAGTCTCCCTTGAAAGATAGAAGGCAGTCAGGTTGTCCCCGTTATCACATATTCACACTTGGGTTTGGGGATTTTTTTTTTTTTTTTTTTTTTTTAACCAGGCTCAAGTTAGCAAGCCACAGGGTGCTAGTTTTCATGTCTACACTGACCCTCTTTGAATTTCTATTCCAATGGCAGCAGTAAGTGACCAATAATCTCATTTGGTCTCCCTTGTTTTAGTGGTCCAGATTTCAAACCCAGCCATATACAGGGAGCTGTCTGGGAGCTAGCCAGAATTGGGGTGCAGCCTGGGCTCAGGGAATAGCTGTCAACACTCAAGCAAAGTTTTTGTCTGTGCGTGTGTATTTGCATTTGTTATTGGACCCCAGTTTGGTTTTTTTATTTGTTTGTTTGTTTTAGGAGAGTGTAAGGTGTCTTATTTGAGTCTTTTTCTTGCCCAGCCAACCTCTGGTCAGTACAGCAAAGGACTTGCAGTGGTTGCAGCTATGTGCTACCCATGTCAGCCAAGGAGCCGAGCCCCCTTGGGGGAGAACTGAGTGTCCAGATTATTTCATGTGTTTTTTTGGGGGGGTGGGGTGGGGGGATGGGGGGTAGGTAGAACTGATAAGGCTAAGTCTTAGTGTTGACCCTTAGCCACATGGGTGAACTGGCAAAGGCCGTATCTGTTGTCCCAGGCCAAAGAATAACAACTGCCTTGGCCCCTTAGGAGCCCCCTTCCTTGTGTCCTTACAAAATGACAGCTCATAAAACTATGAGAATGTAACACATCAATTTAAAAGGAGTTCCCAAAAGTCTTCAGAAAATAAAATTCTGCAAGTCTCTTCCTGCTTTAGACAGCCGTTAAGATCCCAACTGATTCTATAGAAGCTAAAACCCACAGAGAGGTTGTTTGTGTTATGGTTGGTTCAATCTTCAGTTGTAAGAGTAATTCTCTATTTTTATATTAAAACATTACTTGATAGCTCAGGGTCTACATTTCATTCAACTTTTTACACCAAATTCTGAAGAATGGTCAAAATGGAACATTGGGGGCTGTTGTAAACAGAGGCTTAATTTTATTAGAAGTAGCCAGTTATTTATTAAAGCATGATGTTAATAAAATAGGCATATTCTGGCTGGTGTGTATGAGTTTTTTTTAAATATATAAACAAATCACAGAAGACATAAAATTGAAAAGGCACTCCATTTATGTATGAGGAAAAATAGATTGTAAATAGCTAAGCTGTGTTGTGAGAACTTGGAAAATGTGCTGATACTTTGTAACTACCTCAGTTGTGAGGAATTTCCTTTTTAGCTTACACTGCTATTACTTTTACTTGGTAGAAATGAATCTGGTCTCCAAAATATGGCTCAAAGAGTTATCCCCATAGACCTTGTTAGATTGTTTTTAATTTAAAACCTTGAACTCTGCCCAGCTGTTTTCTTTCAGTCAAGTTCTCTAAACCAATAACATTTTCCGAATTAAATATTCTTGAAGGTTCTTTTGGACTCTTACTGATTTGGTTTTTTTTTTCCTCTTTGTTTTTTTTTTTTTTTTTTTTTTTTTGCATTTTTTCCTTTTACCCTTTTATTATTTAAATTGTCTCTTGCTTTTGAACTTGAACTATGAAATAAACAAATCATAGATTTTTCCATTCAGGTCTGACTGGATAACTCTTGGCTTCTAACCAGCTGGCAGGCTCACTCCTACCCCGCAAAAAAGAATAAAGGCAAGTTGAATATTTTAAAACCTTAAGAGTTTGGAGTATGAGGTAGAATAAAAGCCTTGTTAGGAGAAGACTTTTCCAAAGTTAGTAGCATGTTAAGGGGTTTTGTTTTACAAAGTCATTCATAAATTATTTTTCTTTCAAACACTTCATCCACTCTGTACCTGAAGAAAAAAACATTTTGTGACTCTTAGATTTATATTTTATTTCAAAAATAGTAATTAACACCTATTTTGATAAAAAGACACTGCAAAGAATCGACTTGCATTTTTAAACTTGAGCGTTAGAAACTCAACAGTTTACATGAATTAAAAATTGTCAGGGCCGGCCCGGTGGCGCACTGGATAAGTGCGCCGCTTGGGAAGTGCGGCAGCGCTCCCGCCCGGGGGCTTGGATCCCACATACAGACCG